CCACCACCACCACCACCCACACACACACACACACACACACACACACACACACACACACACACACACACACACACACACACACACACACACACACACACACACACACACACACACACACACACCACAGGCGGGGCACGATGCCATGCGAAGGCGGTTCTTGCCCTCTGATCGCCTGGGCGACTTTCAGATCACATACACCGGGTTTGAGCACGCGCAGCTGGAGAGCAGCGCGTACGATCTCGTGTTTACCTCCCCGCCCTTTTTCGACTTTGAGGTGTACACGCAGCTGCCCGGCCAGTCCGTGAACACGTACCGCGGGTTTGTGAGCTGGCTGGTGGACTTTTTGCTTGCAAGCATTCGGCGAGCATGGGCGGCGCTGCGGCCGGGCGGGCACTGCGTCATCCACATCACCGACGTCTACAAGACGCGCGTTTGCGAGCCCATGTGCCTGCTCGTGCTGGCCACGCTCGAGTGCGTGCAATATGAAGGCGTGCTGTGCTCGCTCGGCGGCATGGGCAGGCCCCGCCCCTTGTGGGTGTTCCGCAAGCTGGACGCAACGGACACCGCCACGAAATCGCACGCGTGGCACGAGCTGCAGCGGCTGCACCGTGACCTGTACCAATACTGGAACTCCAAGGCGCCACGCCAGCAGCAGCACCATCGCCAGCGGGGCGCTGTGCCCTCGTCATCATCGTCATCGTCGTCGTCAGCAGCACAGGCGGCGACACGGCGACAGGCAGCAGAAGCAAGTCTTGGCCCCGCAAACCCATCGAAGCGGGGGAATTTCAGCTAGCTAGCCAGCTAGCTTCTTCGTTTCTCCCTGTTATTTGCAAACTTGTTACACTGGGACTGCTTGCACCATCACCTTGCCTTGCCTTGCTTGCCCATGGGAAAGGGAGAATAAAGACACGACATGACGCTTCTCACAACAGTGTGTGTGTGTGTGTGCGCGCGCGCGTTTGCTGGAATCGACCGTGCAATCTGTTTGCGACAGTATGCAAAGAAGTGAACAAGTGGGCACTGTCATATCACTTGAATCTGGATCCCCTTTGGCCACGCCATGCGCCTTGCATGATCTCCGCGATGCTTGCGTGGTACCTGCTCCCCTTCTTCTCCTTTTTTTGCACGACTGTGAATTGACGGGATGTGGCCACGTGGTCGTATGCTGGTTGATGTTACATTAACACCGAGCTTGTTTCCTTTGTTCTGTGCGAGCCGTTGAGGGAACAAACACTCAATCGCATCGATCTGCTTCTGTGTGGTATGACGTGGACTATGGAATGTTTGAAGGTTTGATTCCTAGATTCGATGCAGTGCTTGTGCACGCGCCGGGACGAGGGCTGCGCGTCACCTGTACATGCTGCTACACGCCACCTGCTCACATGCAGCGTAATCAAGGTCTCAATCAGTACAACTATGATTGTGTCGACACGCAGCACCCGAGAGAGCCAGCAACAACCTGCCCATTGTCGACACTACTCAAAGCATGCCAGCACACCGATCCCAGTCCATACCATTCCAGAACACAATCTCTGCTCCGTGCTCTCACAGCAACTGACAACTGTGGCGCCACGATCCACCACCTTCCTTTCGGAACACTATTTGTTGCCCCGATGTACATGTATACCTTGACGTTGACGCGCCCCGCCGTTGGCTCGACGTTTGGATGCATTGTGCAGTACAGCCGCCGTGGTGTGGTGACGACTGCGCCCCCAAGCACCAACCGCAGCAGCCCTGGGCAAGCAGGGAACAAGCAATTAGAGCAATTCGCAAACAACGGGCCACAGACAGAAAGGCCGCATCTTTCAGCAACCAATCAGAGACACCCGGACCACCAAGACCATGAGCTGCGCGTGTTGTCTTGGAACATCAACGCCCCGTCCAAGTCTCGCCAACGGCTGCCAAAGGACTACGACACCTTGCAGGGCCAGGTGACGACGCTGCGCTCTGACGTGGTGATGCTGCAGGAGGTGGTGGAGCGCCAGCTTGCCGACCTTGTGAAGGTGATGCAGGATGCCGGCTTCAGCCGGTGCGGAGGCGTGCCGCTTGTCTACAGCGGGGACAGCATCGCGCCTTCAGTTCCGCCCCACTTCACGCTGACATTTGTCCGCAAGAAGCGACTTCAGCTCGTGGCGCACAAGCGAGCGCCGTTCACCAATAGCCGCAAGGCGCGAGACCTGAACACGTGCACGGTGCGGTGCAAGCGTACGGGCAAAGAAGTGTGGCTTGGAAACGTGCACTTGGAGACGTACCGGAAGTATGCCGGGCGCCGCTGCCTGCAGTTTCTGCAGTCCCTGCAGGCACTGAGCCGGCATGACCTGGGTATCCTCGCAGGCGACATGAACCTGCGCGAGGCGGAGGCCCAGCGAGTCTTGCAGCAGTGTCGTGGCGCGGCGCCGTACACCAGCATTGGTGATGCGTGGGAGATGGTTGGCAGCCCGAAGGAGCAAGAGTTCACCTGGGATCTGCAACTGAACACGAGCTGGAGCCACTTTCCCAACAACCCGCGCATCCGCTTCGATCGCTGCTATGTCAAGGGCCTGCGAGCACGGTCGTTTGAGCTCGTCGGCACGCGTGCCCTCACCCACTTTGGCCACTTCAGCGACCACTTTGGCATCTGCACCCATTTGCAGCTACCGAGCGACAACGACGAGGAGGAACAAGGGGAGGAAGAGCAAGAGGGCGCTGTTTTTGCTGCCTAAGGCTTCGACTTGTTTGCTTTGCTTGCTTTTTTTGCTTTTACAGGTTGACATTGCAGGCTGCTGCTGCTTGAAACTAAACGCGTTTAGGTCCATCAATGCGATGATGACGTCAGAACAATGGGAAAAAGACACACATCACATCAGTAGATCAGTCAACGAACACACACATACACACACACACACACACACACACTCTCTCTCTCTCTCTCTCTCTCTCTCTCTCTCTCTCTCTCGCTCTCACACGCCTTAACAGCTGGGCATTGTTCGAGGTACACAGGTGAAGTATAGCTGATTGTTCATCATGGCATGCACTGCACAAACTCCAGCAGCAGCAGCGACATGGCTCATTTTCACAACAACAACACACCAGCAGATACTGCTTCTCACTCACTCATCACAGTGTCACTCATATCCCAAGCGCATAACTAGACAGACACAAGGACACACACACACACACACGCACGCACGCACGCACACGCACGCACGCACGCACGCACAAGCAAGTCCCCAATCACGATCGCATGATGGTGTCGATCAAACCTTTGCTCGTGCAGCTCACACGAAGCCTAGCGCAGATGCCGCGGTGCAGCGCTTGGTGCCCCTGCGCACCCTCACACCCGCTTCTTTGTTGCCGTCCTTTGCAGCCCCTGCTCAGCAGCAGCAGCAGAAGTCGTGCCGCATCAAAGACCGTCGCCCACAAGCACAGGGACCAGGAAACCCGAGCTCAGCTGCTGCAGCTGTCGGCTGGCTGAAGTTGCTCCGCTTTGCGTTTGCTCAGCCTGCGCGCCTGTTCTGGACCATCCCACCCTCTCCTTCGCCTGCAACAGAAACAAGGCCCGTGCAGCGGGACTTCCTGCGGCTTGTGTCATGGAACATCAACGGGTTCACACCGCATGATGAGCTCCTACCCGGACGGCTGGCGAAGATGCAAGAGGAGCTCTCCGGCCTGGACGCGGACGTGGTGCTGCTCCAAGAGGCTGAACGGCAGAACCTGCAGTTGCTCCACACCCTGATGGAGGAGATTGGCTTCGTGCCCTGTGATGCGCCCCCGCTCGCAACCCTGTCGCCCAAGCACTGCGTGCCTGAGCACTTCACTGCCACGTTTATGCGGGAGTCCCGGTTCGAGCTCCTGGCCCAAGAGCGCATGCCCTTTCAGAGTAGCCAGCGGGGTCGCGACCTCAACACGTGCATCTTGCGTTGCACAGCGACCGGCAACAAGGTGTGGGTTGGCAACGTCCACTTTGAGAGCATGGGCACAGCCTCGGAGGCCCGATGCGAGCAGTTTGCAGAATCGCTGGTGGAGATGTCACAGCATGAGCACAGCGTGTTGGCTGGCGACACAAATCTGCGCGACGAGGAAGGGGACGACGGCTGCAGCGCCTTCAACAAGCAGATGTTGCCTGGCTCACGCAGCATTGTTCAGGACGCGTGGGAGCTGAGCGGCAGCCCACGACAGTACCGGTTCACGTGGGACACGCTTCTCAACGACCGCGTTGACACGACGTCCTGGGGTGGCCGCCCTCGCGCCAGGTTTGACCGCTGCTTCGTCAAGGGGCTTACGGCAAGCGACTTCCGACTCATCGGCACGCACAAGTCTCCAGATGTGCTCGTTGGGCTTGTCAGCGACCACTTTGGAATCTGCGTCGATCTCCACTGGGCAAAAGGCAAGGCAGAGTGTGAGTGAGTTGAGGAAGGTGAAGCAGAAGGATCCACTGAAACTGAAACCGGGGTGCTCGGGCGTGGGATGGAGGTTTTGCTTTCGTGATGAAGAGTGACAACGAATCGGGACGTGTTCTTGTGTCATGCTGTTGTGCTCGTGTGCTTGCTTCTGTGGTCGGAAAGGGAACAAGTAAAGCACGAAAGGGATGAACGCTCTGAAAGCTTGAAGGCTGCGACACTTGAGGACTTGAGGAAGGACAAGTGTGCTAAGTGTGATGTCTTCGTGGGCTTGGATAAGCTTGGATAAGCTTGGATAGGCTTGGATGGCTTGGATGGTACAGACAGACAGACAGACAGACACACACACACACACAGAGCGCACACAGCACACACAGCACACACAGCACACACAGCACACACAGCTCACACAGCTCACAGCTCACACAGCACACACACACACACGTTTGAACTTTGCGCGGCCGGCTTGTTTGGATTGTGGAATATTCATCAATGTGGGCGTCAATTATCGAGCCTTGTTGCTGAGCGAAAGAGAAGAACAAGCAAGAAGAAGAAGAGATTGGTTGAACCTTGTTGTGGTTGTTGTTGTTGCTGTTGCTGTTGCTGTTCCACCCCCTCCTCCTCCCTTCCTCCCCCCTCCTTCCCCTCCTCCCCTCCACGCCAGGCACAGTTCCACACGCTGCGAGAGGATGGGCGATGCACAGGCGCCCAAGGCGAGGCGCCGTAGCTCACTGGCGACGCTGATTGATGGGCTGCAGACGGAGTTTGACCACGTTCGCTTCGCGCTCGCCTCGGATGCCGCCGGGCTATCGGAGGACGGCGCTGCAGAGAACAACAGCAAGGCACGTCGCCGTCGCTCGTCCGCGTCTGCAAGCGGAGACAACAAGCACACATGGACCCTCTTTCCCATGAACAGGAATCTGTTCAAGGGCATCCCCTTGTCCAGCTTGAGCGATGCTGCGGGCAAGTCAGATCTGGACGCCAGCTTCAAGACAGCCGCCACCAACCGGTTCCTGGACATCCTGCCGTACGACAAGACGCGCGTGCGCCTGCCCGTGTACAAAGGTCAGCCGCTCAGCACGTACATCAACGCCAGCTACATTCATGGCCCAGACGGGCGCGAGCGAGCGTACATCGCCGCAATGGCCCCAAAGAACACAACGGTGCAGTCGTTCTGGCGCATGATCTGGCAGGACCGCGTCAGCATCATCGTCATGCTGTGCAAGCAGCAGGAAGGAGGGAAGGAGCAGTGCGCGCAGTACTGGGGCCTCAAGACAGGCAACAAGGTCAAGGTCGCCGACATGCTCATCACCACGACGCGTGTTGTGCACGACGACAAGAAGGGCATCACCCGCACCGTCCTCAACATCAACCACCCGAGCGGCGAACAAAGAACCATTCAGCATTTCTGGTACCAGGCCTGGGTAAGCCGCGCCTGCTCCCTGTGTGTGGGTGTAAGGGGGGGGGGCGAGGAAGAGAGGGGGGCGGGGTGGAGGGCTGAGAGAAAGGGGAGGGGGAAGGCCGCAAACGCCATACGGAGCCAGTGCCCAGTGCGTGTGTCTGGCTATTGCGTCTGGCTGTAACTGTCTGCTGTCGCGCTCGCTTGAACGCACTGCTTGTATCTTTCCGTCTTGACCGAGAAGCTCACCTGCACAACCTCATGCGTCTAACAACTTCTTGCAACGCCCAGTCTCCTGAAAATGCAATCCCAATGACAGTGGATCAGCAGCGGGTTGACCCGACCAAACTCCTTGCCCTCGTCAACCACGTCAACCTGTGAGCTTGGCCGTTTTCCCAACACACACACATATGCAGACACCCGTTGTTCTACCCTGCCCTCTTTTTTGGATGCCGCTGCCCGTACTGCTGTCTCTTCTCTCGTGTGTGCAGTGTTCCGCCACCGACGCCTCTGCCTCACACGCACGCAACTGGTCCAACTGCCGTCCCGCACGCATCAAACACCGCCTGTCCAGCTATGAGAAGCAGCATGGCGTGGGCGGGCCAATCCTGGTGCACTGCACGGCTGGTGTTGGCCGAACAGGCTGCTTCATCGCCGTCGACCACATCTGCAAGCTGCTCGAGGCAAACCAGCGGGTAATGGCAATGATGCTAGGGCTGTGCGTGTGTGTGCTTGTGTGTGTTTGTGTGTGTTTGTGTGTGTTTGTGTGTGTTTGTGTGTGTGCGTGCGTGCGTGTGTGTGCATACTTGTGCTTGCGCATGCACGTACGTGCGTACGTGTGTGTGTTTGTGTGTGCAAGTATGCGCGAGTCTGGTTTCCATGCAAGTGTGTATGCACGCGTGTCTGACTCACCGCACTCCATTCCTCATCATTTCCAAGCCTCTCACATCAACTCCCACCCACTCCCACCCTTTATATTCTCGTTCGTCCAGGCGAACACGTTGAAGGTGGTGGAGGCGCTGCGGCGGGACCGCGTTGCCATGGTGCCCACCGTCAAGCAGTATGAGTTCGTGCAGGTGGCAGCCATCGTCTTTGCAAAGCTCGTTGGCGCGCAGATTAAGCTCAACGACACAGCGGCCGACAGCCCGACCACTCTCGATCCAGACGGTTGGTTGGTTGCCGGAGTGTGTGTCATTGTGTGTGTGTGTGTGTGTCGCGCTGTGTGTGTCGCGCTGTGTGTGTGTGTGTGTCGCGCTGTGTGTGTCGCGCTGTGTGTGTCGCCGTGTGTGTTTGTGTGCGTGTTGCTCTGTCGTTGCGCATTGGTGCGTGCACGTGTGGAAACATGGTATGTGTAGGTATGCGATTGTGAAATGGATGTGCTGACATGACTGCTTCTGTCAATCTAGTTTCTCCATAACCTTTCATGTTTCACCACAATCACAATCTCTCTCATCCCACCACCCATGTACACCTTGCAGTGCTTGCAGCGAACCGCCAGGAGTTGGTGTCACAGCTTCGACCTGAGGCCGCGTTTGCACCACCACCATCTGCACAGAGCCCCTTCTCACGGAAGGCGTTTGCAAGCATGACAGCAATGCCCCGGCCCAGCATGTCGGCAACACAGGCGATGGCAGCCGTAGCGGAGGAGCCCGCGCTCTCAACGGATCGCCACGAGCAAAAGGGCGGAAGCGTGCAGTCGTCTGCCGCAACGTCGGCAACAGCATCGACCACAACCACGGCGAGCAGGCGTGGTGACAGCACGCGCAGCGACAGCAAGTCGGGTGGACGCGGCAGCAAGAAGAAGAGGAAGAAGCAGAGCAGCAAGAAGGAGAAGAAGGAGAAGAAGGAGAAGAAGGAGAAGGAGCAAAGGCGGTCACGAAGAGGAAGTGAACAGACAACCGAGCAACCCGCTGCTGCCGCTGCCGCTGTGATTGACGACAACCTTGACGACAACGTGGTACGGTTTCCCGATGATGCGATACGGCTTGTTGTCTGATGGCTCAGAGGTGGCTATACATCGACACCACATCGCATGCAATCACAAATAATGTACACCGTGTTGCTGACACACTCTTCATGTTTCCTGTTCGCGCTCAAAACACACACACACACACACACACACTGCAATGCAGGTGCTGCGGGAGGATGGGCGCGACATTGCGGCCGAGCAGAGCAAGTGGAGCCAGGAGAAGGAGTTGTTTGAGCTTGAACGCCGGCTGCAGCAGGTCACGCGGGATCTGACGGCACTGGAGACGCAGCGCACGGAGCTTGAGATGCTGCTGAAGACGAGGGAAAAGGCTGTCAAGGAGCAGGAAGAGACGGTCGACAGCACCAAGACCGCATACAAGGACGCGCAGCAGCTTGGTGAGTGGCAGCAGGGGTGACGGAGTCTGCGGGGGGGGGGGGGATGGCGTGGTGGGTCACAGTTTTGTGGTTTGCGTGTGTGTATTAGATGCGTGTGGTGTGAGAAACCATAACACTTGTACATGTGCATGCATTCATTTATGCCTCTTGTTGCACATGATACAACACACACACACACACACACACACACACACACACACACACACACACACACACACACACACACACACGACGAC